AAAAAAAAAAAAATAAAGAAAAAAGAAAAACTAAACGCGCTGTCTCGAATCGCAACGATCCAACGATACACTTCACTTACTGTTAGATTTATTTTATACAATTTAACCTTAAACTCGATTGTTTGCTTCGTTTTATCGGTACAACTTAAATTTACACGAACTGGACTTCTTACGCTTTACGGTTTTCCCTCGATTTAATTTATACATAAATATAATATTTATATATGTATATATATATGGCCACTGCTTTATTTTTTTTTTTTAAATCACATTCAACGATCCGATGGCGCAGAAATTATGCGAGCTGGAAAAGGACCTTTGAAACAACCTTTCCTCTCGTGTCTGATATACAATTCGTTATAGAAAGCAGCACGTTGTTACTCGCGCTAAGCGAATACTGAAAGGAAGAATACGATCGATGTAAAACAATTATTTATACAATTTTTCTTTTTTTTTTTTTTTTCTTTCTTAAGGATATCTCTTTATAAATGCGCTACTACTTTTTAACAATTTAGTCTTACGTGATAGAAACACCGATTATAACTTATTGCTAACTCTAGATTCGGAGATCTTTCTCGTCCATTAATTAGGTCGGCAATGTGTCGCACCTAACCTAAAAACTAATTCCTCGATAACACGAATGAAAACTCTAATTCGTGATTAATCGAACCTGTTCTTCCAGTCACATGTACGATACATACCAACGTTTCCAAGAGTAATCATCGTTGGATAATTTTTATCCGAGAAACATTTACATACGTGCTTGGAAAATAAAATCATACATCTTGGTGATAATTTGCATTATAACACTCGCATTAATAAGATAATTATCATGTTCTAGAATATTGAAAATAAATATTAAAAATAATCCAAGTACCAAATGATATTCGAAATGCTCGTTTAAATATTAAAGACATATAAATATAAATCAGCTGAGAGTGAAGATCGAAGATCAATTTTTTTTTTTTTTTTTTGCTCGGTATCATTTTCTCAGGATCACTCTTGTCGGAGAGAATCACGTCATTCGAGATTATGTTTGTATTTTGTACAGCGTCACATGTTCAATTTGCTAAACGATGATTCTTTGTTGGGCATCGATGTAACGCGAGGAAGCGCGAGAAAAAGTACACACAGATGAACACACGACAGGGGAAATATTTTCCCATTTCCTCTCTCTTATAAAAGTGTATAACACAGTTTCTGCTCGTTCGAAGAATTATTGGAATTACGAAGAATTGGAAAATGGCGGGACAGTCGTACAACATAAACGTAGAACGATATAATCACATCGACTGCATGATTTGTGTCACAGATATTTCTTATCGTTTAATTAATTTAACGAATCTCACGGGTCACGCTTTATCTTTCCACGATTCCGCAACAACGTTGCTTTGCAATAAGAAAAATGTTGAAAAGCCGGATATAGAACGGATCAGGTTTTTTTTTCTAGATCTAAATGTAAATTGTCCTCAATGATTTTGTTTCTTTAATTTCCCTCAGAGAAAATCATTGTTATCGATATGATATTTTTTTTCCTTTCTTTTTTTTTTTTTTTTTTTTTAAAAAAATCACTATTGATTGCTTTTTAGGAAAAAGCTCACTCCACTGTTGTCTTTCTGAAGAGTTGACTTAAAAGAGCCCTTTCTTCTTATTCTTCTTATCCTTACCATCGACAGTCCTGAAAAGAATTACAGCGTCAATAGAAAATAAAGAGAATTGTTGCATTTATCCAGCATGCCAACCAATGTCAATGAATTTTAATAAACTCATAGTTACACGTTTCAGATTTCTCTCCCATTTTCTGTCAAAATTAATGGCAAGTTCTTTGTAAAATTAATCTTTCAAAAGGAGAAAAAAGTATCTGGTCATTCTGGTAGAAACACAAACATCTTTTATATAATATCTGATTTTTGCATGTTTATTCAATTAATAATGTATCCAATAATTCCATTGCAGTAAAGTAAAGAGATATATTCTGAAATTCATTGTTTAAGATATTGTAATATTGTATGTAATGCAATATGAATGTATATCCATCGTGTACATACAGTATAATCTAAATCATGCGAAGATCATGCTTTCAGAAATGTAAACTTTTACGACCATTGAGAGTCACATGCTATTTGTTATTTGTTCTCCGCTTTCTCAATGTGTTAATACACCGATGGACATTTATATTCAATTAACCAATATTAATATTAATATATTTTCTCTCCAAACAACCAAGGTACATACAATCTTTATGGGCGCGACTGTGAAATTGTCAAAGCAACATAAATCAGATATTTTGCATTTTAATAATGTTCAACTAATATGGTCGATAAATAACTTATTTTCCAGAGACACTTGTTGTAAAAAACATAAAAGTAATAAAAAAAAAAAAACGTGACACACATATGTTAATAAGGTGAGTTTGATATGCAGCGTTATGTAAAAGCCACATTACAATATTTCTCTGCCACTTATAGAGGCGTTCATTCATTTGCAACGCTTTAATACGCAGTAAGGCTAATTGAATAACGAATGGTTAGTAAATGTTTTAGGAAAGCATTACGTTTATTTGCGAAAAAGGACTTAATGATGAAATTAACAATTGTATAATAATTGTTCTCTCGAGGCTAATTATCATCGATCGAGTGTGTGTGATATTATACTCTTTGTCAAGCTGTCTCTCAATTCTGATCTTTGAACTCAAAGTCCTCCGGAAAGTAATTCGTTCAAATTCGCGTACAAAGGAAATGCACACACATATGCGAACGTATCAACGAAGAGAAAGAAAACAAAAGAAAGATATGGTGACCAAAGAAAAAAAAAAAAGCGAGGAAAGAACAGACAGCTTGTTCAGAGTTTACAATACAATAGCTTTCCATAATACTTTTATAAAGTGTGAATGTGTACTCTGAGCTCATACAAGGTAAATTGCAACGCATTTTGCTTCGTTGAATATA